ACTAAGTCCCATGATCCTCGAAGTACTGAACCAGCGCCGATGCTCAGCTCTTGCCGCCGGGCCACTGCCTTTCCTCGCAGCATGGGCTTGGGGTTTTAGGGTTTAGGGTTTAGGGTTTAGGGTTTAGGGTTTAGGGTTTAGGGTTTAGGGTTTAGGGGGGCTTGGAGCAGAGTCAGTCCAACGACCGCAGTACGCGAACACAGGACTTCGAAACCCTAAACCCCTAAACCCCTAAACCCGAAACCCTAAACCCTTAACCCTAAACCCTAAACCCTAAACCCTAAACCGTAAGATCTGCAGACGCTGTTTGCCACCACAGCCCAGATTTCGATAAGCGAGATGTCTGCCACAGGTCCGGAAAGTTGCTCTCTTGAATCCCTATAATCACCCTAATCACAAGAAAAGCATAAAAATAAAAATAAGAAACTAGGGTTTAGGGTTTAGGGTTTAGGGTTTAGGGTTTAGGTAGCAGACAGCGTTTGAAGAATCCTGCAACGTAAACAACCATGTGCAACTCCCCGTCTCCTCCTCGGCGGCTTGCTCCTGGCTCAAACCTTCAACCCAGTATCCAGCAGCCAAGTTACCTTGGGGCGTAGGGACACTAGAAGTGACTGTTTAGGTCCTTTCGGATTAGGGTTTAGGGTTTAGGGTCTATTTTTAGGTCCTTTCGGATTAGGGTTTAGGGTTTAGGGTCTATTTTTAGGTCCTTTCGGATTAGGGTTTAGGGTCTAGGGTGAAGGGCCTTTCCCTACGGGTCTATCAGGCTGGCGATGCGCGGCACTACCAGGTTCCACAAACGATTCGGGAGTTGTAGGGCTTAGCGTGCTTAGGGCTTCGGGCAGCTGTGGTGCGTAGCGTCTAGCGCCGCAAATCCCAAGACCCAGTATCCAGCAGCCAGGTTTTGTTCAGAGGTTGCGTCTCCGGTCTCAGGACTCAGGTTTACAAGCGTTTCATGAGTTTGTTGCAGAGTGCTGTTCCGATGTTAGGAGGTCCTAGGATTAGACTCATACCATAAGGGATTACACGGATGCAGACCCCTGATTCATCACGCGCTTCTTGTTTAAGGCCAGGGCTCTGGCAGGAGTTGGGGCTTTCGGGTTTAGGGTTTAGGGTGTATGGTTTAGGGTTTGGGGTTTGGGGTTTGGGGCGGCGGCAAGCAGGTGTTGGAGTTCTGGGGCCTCAAACCTCAGACTCTGAAACCGAAGAAGCTGATGTAGGGGCCTTAATAATCAGAATAATATCTTATGTTCCACTATACTATAACTTTAAGGAGCAACCCAAAAATAGTATAGGTAATGATTCAGGCCTTTTAGGCCTCTATATGAAACCCGAAGAAGCCCGAAGCCACCCGTGCGACTGCCAAAGATGGATCCCAGACCCTGACCAGCCCAAGCTGAAAGCCCTCAAAGACAGCCCTAAACCGGTGGGTTTCGGGTTCAGGGTTTAGGGTCTAGGCCCCTTACACCCCTAAACCCTAAACCCATACACCCTAAACCAAAGCCTAAACCCTAAACCCTAAACCTAAACCCTAAACCCTAAACCTAAACCCTAAACCCTTGAACCCATAAATCTTGAAACCTGAAGACTTCCAGAGTTTCCCCTTCGAGCCGGGGCACTCTCCGAGAGACCACCTCGCACAGAGGCTGGGTTTAGGGTTTAGGGGTTAAGGTTTAGGGTTTGGGGTTTAGGGTTTAAAGTTTAGGGTTTAGGGTTTAGGGTTGAGGGTTTAGGGGTAGGGGCCTTCATAATTAGAATAGAGCTCCTTTACAGGATTCTTAAAAGGGTCTATAATGGTTACTATAAAGGGTTTAGGGGCCTTAATGATTAGAATAGGGTTTTGGGGTATGTTTAACTACAATTCGAATAAGGGAGTTCCCAAAATAGTTTAGGTACTAGAAGAAGGAACTCCAAAATACTACAGGTAATTATTAAAGCTCCTATATTGCGTACAGTGGCCAGCCGACGTTTATGGATTTTATACGGTTTATATGAGCATGCGCAAAATTAGGTTTCTAGGGGGGTTCCGGTTGAGGAGTGAAAATAAGGAGCATTTAAGTACCTTAGCTGGGGTCGGTAAATATGATGATGGTTAGCTTACTTACAACCGGACTTACTAAGTCCCCTGATCCTGTAACTGCCCCAACCTGCAGAAAGAAACCCCTTAACCCATAAGGAACCTCCCTAACCCGACTTGCTAAGGTCTTGCACTTTTGAAGCTTGAGGGCATGCCTTCAAGCGTTTAGAGAGTGCAGAACCGAGGGTCCTGGTCTTGAAATCCAAATCCTTTCAAGCTAAACCTGTAAAACCCTAAACCCTAGACCCCTAAACCCTAAAACCCGAAACCCCTAAGCCCTAAACCCTAAACCCTAAACCCTGAACCCTAAACCCGCCAAAAGCCCAAGCCTCTGAGATGAAGAAGCCCGGAACACTCACACCTAGGCCCTTGAAAGCCTTAAACCAGTAGACCCCCGAACAACACCAACTAAATATTGGGACCCTCGATACCCCCCCGACAAAGCTCAGGGGTGCCAATATCGGAGTTTACGGTTCGGGGTTTAGGGTTTGGGGGGTTTAGGGTTTTAGGGTTTAGGGGTTAGGGGTTTAGGGTTTAGGGGTTTAGGGGTTTAAGGGTTTAGGGTTTAGGGTTTAGGGCGTTAAGGTGTTTAGGGTTTAGGGCGTTAAGGTGTTTCTTTTAAGTGCAATGCACCCCTATTCTGTTGCAGCAGGCACCCAGGATGTAGGGTCTAGGGATGCAAAACGAACTGGTCAGCATATGCCCCTTGCCCGGTAGTCGAACCCTAAGCCAATTCCGCACCTCACCCTGTGCTTGCGGCTCCGAGCATACTTACTACGACGTTACTAGGATTACGGATCTTCTGTCAAGTCGAAATGTTGTTTCGCCCTATCTTCCCGTGCCTGCTGTGCTGTAGGCCACCAAGACGTACGTGGTGAAGTCCATCTCCTTTGAGTCCAAGAAGCCTTACCTGTAGCCCCAATACCACGCCTCCTGGCCAATTAAATGAACCCCAAACCCTAAACCCTGACCCCTCAACCTTAAACCTTAAACCCTAAACCCTAAACCCTAAACCCAAACTGCTAAACCCTAAACCCTGAACCCTCAAGCTTAAACCTGAAACCCTAAACCCTAAACCCAAACCCCTGAACCCTAAACCCTGAAGCCTAAACCTTAAACCTGAAACCCTACCACTCCCCTAAACACGAAGCCCCAAAGGCTCTACAGACTCCGAAGCCCCAACCGTTTAGGGTTTAGGGTTTAGGGGTTTAGGGTTTAGGGTTTAGGGTTTAGGGTTTAGGGGTTTAGGGTTTAGGGTTTAGGGTTTAGGGTCGCGTCCTTCGAACCTTGAGCCTTCCATCCCGGGAGGCTTCTTGGAGTAGGCTTTTAGCATTCTTTATGGTAGAGTGTAGGGTTTTGCGTTTTAGGACTCCGGCTTTAGGCTTTAAGAGTATGGGGTTTTGCGGTTTAGGATTTGTGCTTAGGGTGTTGGAGTCTTGACAACACGGGGGTCTATGTTGGAGCTTAGGATGTCGGGTTTAGGGCTTAGGGTTTAGGGTTTAGGGTTTAGGGTTTAGGGTTTAGGGTTTAGGGTGTCGGGGTACCTCGTGTTCTTCAGACCTGGTGATCGATCTACGGGTCTGAACAAGTCAGTAATGATGGTATTCCCTTACGCAAGTCCCTATAATAGTGTATGGGGACTATGTAAGGGAATACCAGCACCCTAAACCCTAAACCCTAAACCCTAATATAGCTATAGTATAACATCGAATTGGGGGTTTAGGCTGACGGGTGTTCATCGAGGCTTTGGAGATCAAGGCAGCAAAGTCCCAGAGCCAGCCAAAAGATCTCAAATCTAGAGACCCCCAAGAACTCATCCCACCCTTTGGCTTAAGATGGCTTGAGCTTTGAGGCTTCAATAGCTGGGCCCTAAACCCTAAACCCTAAACCCTCAACCCTCAACCCTCAACCCTCAACCCTAAGCTTCAGGGCTTCGGTGCTCAGGGCTTTAGACCACATCTCAAGGCACTCAGGGTTGACGGGTGGGGATTCGAACTTGAGGCTGCGGCTACGACGGCCACGAATGAATATAAGGACATCAGTGATGCACAGATTATGGGGTTTTGGGTTTAGGGAGCATTGTAGCCCCTACCTTGGTAAGTGCTGCATAGACGACGCGCCCGCCCTCTCCTAATTAGAACCAGGTGGCTGTACAGTCGTGCCGAAGGTTTCTAAAGACCGATGTGCGGAAGATGAAAACGCAAACCATCCTAAGCCCCTTAAAAATCTCATCAAACTCTCCCTTCAATCCCTTCCAGAACCCTTCCTTGTTCAACCTCTCCTTCAATCTAAACCCAAAACCCTAAACCCTAGCCTCCCGTAACCCAAAACCCAAAACCCTA